CAGTTTTCTCTCAAATAAAATGTTGATAATCTGGCCAGGGTTTAATAATGCTGTTATGCATTGAGAATAAAAATACCAAAAACATTAACTGACTAAACAAAATGAATTCTAGAGAATTTACAGAACGTTATGCAACTTTTCCTGGATGTTATTTTCTACAATATCACTTAAGATGTCTGTCCACACTATCAACGGTCATGATGTGATGTCATCATGACCATATTTAGGCATGTCACATGTTATTGTCAAATACAATTTGATAGTCTGGATAGGGCTTTAAAGATGGACTTTCCTTACTGTTATGCCACACATATAGATATTTAAAAAAATATATAAAATTCTGGCTAGCTCATTAAAACTCTATATATCACTGCTATATATAGGATTCATACTCCAGCCATCATATTTTAATGAATTGAAATGTTGGTTTTACTTAAGCTGTGGGTGAAATGCTTGCCAGAAATACCGGTGAAGCGTTTGGTTCAGTCTATTATTCAAAAAGGGGTGTTTTCTCTCAAAAACAACCATCTTTCCAACTCTCATCTTTGGTCTTATAGTAACTCCTGGAAGCCGGAATAGACCTGAAACAGAAAACAGTGGTACTTACAAACTTGAATTTCTTTCCTTAAGATTAATTCAGATCCGATCATTCATTCTATCAATCAATAATAATAACGAATAATAATGAATATGACTAAAACAACAATAACAATATTAATTAAAATACTTAAAATATTGAGGAATAATAGTTAATATCAAACATAATAAAAGAAGCAATAGAATTAGATTTTCACTTAAAAATGGTGGTTAGTTAAACCGAGTGGATTGTGCCCGGTAAAACTGACCAGGTTAATTTTAGTGGATTTCACAGATTATCACCGTCAATAGTTGATTTTCATGGCTCGGTTAGTATTACCATTTCACATTGTAAAACTAACCAACTCACAAAATCAAAGTGTGGATAGTGGCAAGCCTTAAATTTGAGCCTTGAGCTAAATCCAGCAGAAGTATCCAGCAACTGCGCCAAGATCCTTACCTCTTATTCGGTGTAGCTATTTTGCTCCTTGGTATAGTTGAGCTACCGGTAAGTCTAGGCTTTGGTATTCCACTACCACGAGAACTACTCATCTCATTGCCGATTGCCCGGATGGGTATCCCCTTACCCTGAGGTGATAGAGACCGTCCTTTTGATGGCGATGGTGGCTTAAGACCGCCTTTAGGTGGTGTCATTGACCTATTAACTGGTATCGTGCCAGGCTGTTTTGATCGTGCTTCTTGGCCGTTATGTGCCCGTGGTGATCCTCCAGGAGAGGAATTGAATGCTCTGTTCAGGTTCGGCATACTCCCTCCATGGCCTTCCTTTCGTACTATAAACAAAAAATAATAAGTCTGATATAAAACCGAATAGAGCTAAATATACAAAAGAGAAAAACAGCCTCTTATAAGAAGTGATGTAATGAAAATAGTAGCTAAAATTAACTTTAAAAAAGGTACATAAATTCATGTATATTTTGGGAATACATAAAAAAATGCTATAAAAACACAATTTAACAAAAGTACACCTACGTATGAAAGAGAAAAATTACAATACGATATACACTGTTTATAATTATAAGGTTAAAGATGCATTGGCTTAAGGAGCATGGTGAGGATTTAAAGCAGCCTTCAAGTGGCCCTCCCTGCAAGTAACCCTAACACCTGTGTGAAAGTAATGCTTTATACCTGCAATTGTAAATTGATGATTTGCAATGCATATGCGAGGAGGAGGTAATAAATATACTTTAAATCAAAATTCAATGTTTTAATTTCTTATAACTAGCTGTCAATTAAGGATTAGGCAGGATATATTGAGCTGATAGGATGCCTATTTGATACACAGAATTGTTTTTATGCTATATTGTAGCTGCTCCAGAACCCTGACCTTACGGATGGGCAAATTCAAGTAATAGCCACAAAAACCTAAACATTTTTGTAAAAATTACAACTTAAAATATATTCATTTAATTCTATTCATATTACAACCTTGTAATTCCCTTTCCATAGCTCCTGAAATACACTGGTTGATCAAAGTATAAAATTAAGAAATATTTTTAGTGTTTCCTGTTTTGACCATCTGGGATGTTTTTATGTATCCATTCTGTAAGTTGGGGTTACCCACTTTTGGATGTGAATTGAAATTAAAAAAAAAGTACATGGTATATCCTAAAAATATAGGTAATGAAGAATGACAGAAGCAATGGGGTGTAGAAATAAATCACACCTTCAAATTTGAGACCACCTTTGGGGTGGTCTTTGTGTTGGACCTCCGCTTAGTGGATTAGCTTTTGAAGATATCTATTTGGTTCTTTGAAAAAATAGTCTCGAATTAGAGGTCTCAACATAGAAAATGTTTACAATTACAGTATAGATAAAAATACATATAATTGATAAAGACTAAAAAGATGCTGAAAAGCATTATACAGGGGTTTATTTAAGAGTCGGCGGCCGGCGCATTCGATCGGCTACTACGATGTTTTCGCCGGCTACTTCAATCAATACTGTACAAAAATTAATACAAAAACCACCAATATAAATAGCGCAACAGGCCTGTAAAGAACCTTATTTACCTACACGAAGTTAATTTGCAATAGTATGCACTAATTTCGATGTTCATTTCTGTTGAAAGTTCGTTAAAATGTCTACCAATTCTCAGACTCCATGTTTGACTTTAATGAACTCACGGCGTAAACCAAGTTAAAGTTCAAAGTTCGGCAGTCGCGCCTGGGTGAGTCCATCAAAGAAGCCACGCCTCCAAATCACATGTTAGCCAATAAGATAATAGAAATTTCTCCTCTACCACGTGCTCAGGTGATGACGATATACATCGCCCAAACTCTTTTTCCGTACATTGGGCTTCCGGGTTTTCTTACCGCGGAGAAGAAAAAAAACAGATCGTCATTTTTAAATTAATTTGTGTATGACTATGAACCTTTTATCTTCATTTTATTTTAATTTTACTAGCCCTCTTTGTGATGCCATAGATATTTCGGAAATGATAAATAATATTTAAAAAAAACCAACACTGGCTCAAATTCGTTTACACTCGGTGGCGGAGGTAGCAAGGCGAACCAACTATATTGAATGCTGTTTACACTCACATTTTCAGAGTTATAGATAGTAGGCCTACAATGATTAATACGGCAAAGCAAGCCCAAATCGTCTCAATTCACGACATCACATGAGACATTTTTTTCCAATGTGG